TACAGTGAATGTGGCATATGCGAGTATATAAATATCAGTGATAAGATCTGTAGATTTGTGTGGCCATTTAAGAGCCATTCCTTACATGGTTTTGTGTGCTGAAAGCTGCTTGGTTGTCTTAATGGTTTGATTGTAATTAATCTTTTTTGGTTATCTATTGGTGGATTGTTCTTAAGGCATTAAATATACAAGGATTGTTGTTGGTAGTATGTTCAGTGGTGAACCAGTGGTGCTGGCGGGATGGATGAAGGGTTATGGTCGAATGGAGTTCGGGCTGTGCAATTTGGGCGTGTGGTACTGAAAAGGTTGGGGGTTAGGGAATCATTTGGCGGCTGTGAAGATAGAGTGGGGGAGTGGGTTTTGAATAGGGAATGGTATGTAGGAAAAAGGGAGTGAGTTCGTTAGGTGGGAAATAGCTTAATAGAAATTGGCAGGGGAGGGTAGTGATTGGGTTAGCACCAAACCAGGAAAAAAAAAAAAGAGGAGATACTGAGTTAGAAGTTTAATTGTTTTCTTTTTTCCATAGCTCTGTTTCATATTCTTATTATGTGTTGTTTTAATATGTGATAAAATAGGACTCTGAACCCCCCACGGAAGAACATAACACTTACAGGTGGCACAACAATTAAGACACTAGAGTCATCTTGACTCACATTCCTATATACAATACTATGCTATTTGTAATTAGATTTGGTCCATATGCTGAAATTTGATGTAGTAATAGTGATATCTGTAAAATTTTTTTGTTAGAACTCATTAGAAGAAAGTATCTGTACAGAGGGAACACATGACATTCTTGAAATACTTATGGAATTGATTCAATGCAAAGTATATTTTTGGCAAGAAATATGCAGAATATATTAACGTTTTCGAATTTAACTGGGGGGTTACGTAGATAGTAGATTAAACTATATTTAAATTTTAGAAAGAGATAATAAAAATAAATTATTGTATTAATTATCATATAAATGATAATTTTCGGTACATTAGAATCTTTAATTTATTTAGAATATGTAAGAAATTACACTAGTTGAATAAAAATAACTGGATAAAAAGTAACCCAGTTGCAAAAGTGGAAGGGTATTTTGTTTCTGAAAAAAGAAAATTAAAACTATAGATATACATATATATATATATATATATATAAATTTTCCTAAGTAGAGATGGCAATGGCAAAGGCAAAGCTGTCGTTCTCTAAGCTGCCCCAACTGTAGCCAATTAAATTACTTAACGTGCTTGCAGGTTTTGAGTCAAGGTAGAGTCTTGGTCGTACATTTTTAAAATCATCATGTGACTTTTGGAGAAATAAAAAATTAAAAAATAATATATATTTTTCCTCACATTTTTGAATTATCCAAACATGCTACTCCCTTTCACATTGATCAATTTCTTTTTAAAGGTCAATATTTAGCTTTTATTTTGTACCAAAAATTGACTAAATTCATCTCACTTTCAATACGTTTGACTCCGGCGAAACTAAACATCTTTTATCTCTAAATTAAAACTAATGTATTTTCGATTTGGGTTTTTCTAAATAAATATTCTTCTCTAATGTATTGTATATATTAGCTCTCAATTCACTAAAATTGGTAGTCAAATTTTTTATAATCTTTATTTTTAAAATTTATCTATAATCTATTTATAAAAATCCTGTATAAATATTTCAATTAAATTGTCAGAAATAATCCCCACGATTCATTGTATATTTATTAATCAACCCTATACACACATACATACATGTATTTATTGCAACGTGCCTAAAAGGATTATTTAAAAGAAAGAGGAAACAAAAAAAAAAAAAAACCATGCATTATACTTAATCGTCGACATGATGGGAAACAAAGTCAAGTGGAATCTTTTATATTTTAAGATTTTATAATTTATTATTTATGAAACATAAGATTTTATAATTTATTTTGGAATGAAAATTTATCGGTTATTTATGATAATAATTGAATCATTTAAAATTTAAAGATACTAACCATATAACAAAACAATAATTTATCGTACGGTTTTAATTTAATTACGGTAATATGTTATCAAATATTATTCCTATTCCCTTGATATCGTATTCATAATAATTTTTTTAAATATTTTGACTTAGACTCAAGATTTATCAAATTACAAATCAAGAAATATGGTAATTATTTTTATTCAATTGCGAATATTTTAAAATATATATTTAAATAACGAAACTATTTTAAAAATTATTTTCTAAAATATCTAAGTATAATATAATTTTTTTTAATTAAAAATAATAAATAAATTGTACAACTAATTAAAGAATTAAAATTAAAATTGTGAATGGATAAGGGGGAGAGTGGAGTGTAAGTTTTGAGTTCCGTGTGGGCCTTTTCTGGGCTCTCAAGAGTCAAACAAGTAGAGACTAATTTAAAAACATTATTTTATAATTTAAACAAATTAAATTCAAATATATTTTAAAACTGCAAAATTTCCATATGGAATCCCACTTGACCCGCTAATGATAATAATAAATTCATCTTCTCACAAACGTTTCTTTCCAGCGGTGTAGAGAAGCAGAAAACGTGGGCATCTCGTGTCGTATTATTTCATTAATGCGGAAGGGTAATCTTGTTATTTGAAAATTACAAATTTAATTTCAAAATATTGACTAATTTTAGATATTGAGTTTGAATCATAAATTGTGTATTTTTTGGGGTTGATCACTCATCCGAAATCAAATTAAATTTTTTAATATGTTAATTATAATTTTAGTATTATATTTATGTAATATATTAATCAGTTCTGATGGAAATGGATCTAATCTAAAATTTTGGTGTTAAAAAGGTTATATTAAAGATCAATTGAAATTTAGTGATCAAAATTTTCAATTGAGATAAAAGATAATGTTATTACGAAATTGAAATATGGTGTTTATACGTAATAAAATATATAAATTTAAAAATAAAAAATATATATATGTGAGTGCGTGTGAAACAGAAGAAAGAAGGTGGAAATTAGAAAGTCGACGAGATAAACAAAAAAAATTGACGTCAACAACATGAACCTTCTTTTAGTCACGACTTTTCCAACAGAGCGTGAATTAAATCTGCCAATTGCTATGACCTTGACTTCTTTTAGAATTTTAAATTTTCATCTTCTTTTCTTCCACTCACCCACCCACCCACCCACGTGCATTTTAGTAAATTTAAGCTAAATATTAAATTAGTTTTTTAATAAATAATTTTTATAACTATATATAAAGTCGGCCTCGGTGGGGAGAAAGATTTTCTAAGTTGACGTCTAAAGGGAGAGAAATGCTGTTTCCAAACTTTCCAGCCACTTTCCTAGCCAAACAAAATCTTAGCCAACTCCGTTTTTCTTCCCCATCCTCTCTCTATATATCTCATCCTTTTTTGGCTTTCAACTTCCTCATTCACCCGACCGATTTCGGATTTAGCAGAGAATACATCTCCTGAGTTTATATAATCTATCTGCAACTCCCCAACTTCGATCACTCCAGACGCACCTTGCAGTCTATTACTACTTCTTCAATGGATTCAACCTTCGTCGACACTACTCTTGACCTCAACATCAATCCTTTCTATTCCACCAACAAGGTTCAGGTACCGGTGAGTGTAGTAGTTCTAGATCTGATTGATGAAAATTTAAAATAACTCTTCCGTTGGTTGCTGATTTTGCAATGTTTCTTCTCTGTTTTTCTTTTTTCTTTTTTTCTTTTTTTGAATAAGAAGAAGATGGACTTGCTGAGATCCTTTGCGGATTCTGAAAAGAAATCATCGGTTACAGAAGAGGTAATAATTAGTAGTAAAACTTGAATTTCTCGGATCTCTCATGGAAGATTATTGGTTTTATTGAAACTGCAATTTAATTTGATTATTTCAAGAGCTCCGCAGTGAATTTAGTGTGGTGTGAATTTTACAGACTGATGTTCTAGTGGAGGAGTTGAACCGGATAAGCAACGAGAACAAGAAGCTGACCGAAATGCTCGTCGCCGTGTGCGATAACTACACGGATCTGCATAACCGATTCGTCGAGCTGGTGAACAAAAACGCCGGCGAGAAGGAGCAGATTGCCACATCGAGGAAGCGAAAAGCAGATTCGTCGACGACGGAGGATTATTGCAGCGGCCACATAGCCAATAATGCCGTCGTCAATGGCGGAGTTTCGGCTGGACAGACCGAAAGCAGCTTGAGCGACGAGGATCAGTCGTTTAAACATCCCAAGGAACACCACAAATCTCAGTCTTCTCGGGTCTGTGTGCGCACCAGTGCGTCAGACACAAGCTTGGTTAGTAGTAAATTCCTAATCAAAAATCGAGTCCCGGCGGCGAGTTTTTGTGTTTTAACTAGATCGTGTTTGCAGGTGGTGAAGGATGGATATCAATGGCGGAAATACGGGCAGAAAGTTACCAGAGATAACCCATCTCCTAGAGCATATTTCAAGTGCTCCTTCGCTCCAGGCTGCCCTGTGAAGAAGAAGGTACAGAGAAGTGCGGAAGACCCGTCAATCTTAATAGCCACATATGAAGGAGAGCACAACCACCCTATCCCTTCTCGAGCCGAACTATCTTTGACCCCAAGCCGTGGTGCAGCCGTAGCTGGTTCATCCGCCATGAGACCAACAGCTTCTGGCGCTGTAACGCTTAATTTGATTCAGTCTTCGACATTGGTTCCAGGTGAAGAAGAAAGGCAGGTAGAAGAAAAGAAAGCGGCGGGAATTCAACAGGTTCTGGTGCAGCAAATGGCCTCTTCGTTGACAAGAGATCCCAATTTCAGAGCAGCACTTGCAGCTGCCATTTCTGGGAAGTTCTTGGGTCAGACCCCTATGGCGAAATGGGAAAATTAAGCACAGTTGTTAGTTTTGTTACTATTCATGGCGAGTTGGAAGGAGTTCATGTTATTTATAGCCATAGCATTTGCCAAAACGGATGTAAATTTGATGGAATGATAAAAAAAAAAAAAAAAAAATTTGAAATTGTACATATTTTATTATTTAACTGGATAATATATTTTGAGTGAGAGATTACTTATTTTGATATTTTTCTATATTCATACCCAATTCGAAATTATAATATATACAAAATTAACTCAAATATATGTATGTTTATAAATAAAAAAATAATAATAATAATTCAATTAAAAATTAGTAGTTAAACTTTAGTTGATAATATATATATATATTTTTTTAATTTTTATTAATAATTTTTTAGAGTCAAATTTTTTTAAAAAAAAATATGTTATTAATTGTGTTCCAAATTGTCATCAAGATACCTTAATATTTAAGGAAAAAATATAGCAGAAAACTTAGACTTGTCCTTCTCAAGATTAGCCATTTTCAATGAATGAATTATTGGGTAAAAAAGGACTTACAAAGAGAAGAGATCGACCGTCGTTACAAGTATAATGAAAGTTGATTTGGTAAGTACCAATGATAACAAAAGCAAAGAGATTAAGTATGGATAAAATTATTTTTAAATATATATTTAAAAGTATTTTATATTTTATATTTTATCTTAAAATACAAAATAAAAAATTAGATGTCTTTTTTTAGTCTTCCAGTATCTACGAATGAAAAAATATAAAAACACGTCATTGATAATGATTTATGGCAACTTGAAAAATAATATTCCTCTTCGTGCTCAAAAGACTTCCAAAATTGTGCTTCCTTGAACAAGTTGAACTTTGAATTTTTTGGATTTAAAATTTACCAAATATTTTTATTTTTATACCTTACACTTATTTATTTATTTTTTAAAATCGAATTAGTAGGAAAGCTTATAGCTAGGCTTCTATTTTTCACACATATTTTAGGTTGATTTTTAAAATATCTCTGTTGCAAAATTTGGAAAGAGTAATTTTTTTTTTAAAAAAATATTTTTATTTATAAAAGAATAGAATATTGCAAAGAAAGTTATCTGCAAATTGATTGGAACTAAGCGGCGTCGTTTTCATTTCACGTAGAATATATGAACTTCTTTCCTCGACGCCATTAACCGGCACCTAAATGTTATAAATGAAATAATAGGGATGGTGGCGTTCCCATGACTGTTAACGACAAAACGTCGTCGCTCGACATTTTAAATGAGATCCATTTGACTTCTATCTCAGCTTCCTGCTGGTTCTTTCACTAGGGGCGTCGCCTGATTAGTGAAGATTTATAATTTCAGTAACAGTAATTTATTGAATTATGTTTTTATTATTTCTTTCATTAACGAATTGAAGTGATTGAATCAATCTCCCCGGGTCATGGATTATATACGGATATTGGATATGCAGTCTCGGATTCGAGTAACCTGGTTGATCTTTTATGAGCTTACTGTCTTTCTCTTCAAATTTACCGGTATGGCTTTTATCACGATTACATTTATTATGCCCGCTTTGAACATTTAGTAGATGACAAAGGTTACTCCATGCTAAATGAAAAAAAAAAAAACATAGGGGTTTTGTATTTCCGGATTCATTTAAGTTTTTTGGGTTAGGTTAAGTTTATCCTTCCTGAAACTGTTTTCTTGGCTGTAGAAATTTCGAGGTGAGTCCTCGATGCTAAGCTTGACTGCTGCAAATTCGCTTTCTCTAAGCTTAGTACAGTGAGGCCTATGAGAGTGAAGAAGTACTCATCGTTACGTACACTACTGGTGATGAAAGAAATTGCACTTCATGGAGCCGATCGTGATTCTGTAAGACTAAGTTAGACCTTGCCTTTGTAGGTTGTATATACTTTCCTTCTTCCCTTTTTTCTTTGCGGATTAAATTTGTCCCCAATTTTCAGGATCTAGAGAACTCTATGACTCGAATATTGTTGCTCTGTTATTAAACAGCTGGTGTGTTTTCCTTTATAACGTCATTTCCTAAAGTTTTGACTAGTTGTGAGCGGAAATGAGTTAAAAGTACTCCGTAAAATGGGTGTTACTGGTAACTTACAGTGACTCTTTTGCTTTAATGAATTGTTTGTTTTATTTTATCTGTAAGTTATGCAGCCTTGTAACTCTGAGGATTCTCTCTCTTCATTTAGCGAAATTATCTTGATAACTTGGATGATGAGGGGAAGCAATCAGTTTCAAGGATGGTTAAGACATTCGTGGCATTGCTAGCAAAAAATATCTGGCTGGAGCCACTGGTTTTGGTGACAGAGAAAAAATTTGCAGTAGATGTATTAGAATATGAAGAGGGTTGGGATGGTGCGGAAATGGATGGCAACATTTGAGATCCAATCTCCTAGCCTTTAGAAGGGGGCTATAACCATTTACTTGGTTGAATGTGTAGTTGAAAAATCTAAATGTTTTTCATGGAGGAACTTTGTTTCTGAGTTCCAATGAGTCATGCCACATTCTGCATATGTTGCTTCTATAGGCTGCACCTCAAAGATTTTGGAGAAAGTGCAAAAATTAATTGTCTCAATGAGGGAAGCAAAGTGATTGTCATTGATGATCTTAATGGCCATTTTCACTATCTCCTCAAAATTTTCAATTGCACAGCTTTACCCTCTGAATACTAGCACTTTGTTTCAAGTGACAATTTTATTGATAAACGTTTATGGGACTTGGAAGTATTTTCGTTATTGTTGGCTAGGAAGGTATTATGTTATGTTATTCGTGATGCTTTTCCTTCTTAAAAGTTTACTTCATTTGCAAAAATATATACCGTTTTTAATACACCTAACCTGCATGCATTGTTACTATTTATTTGCATGTTGATACCCAAGTTTAATGTATTAGGAAAAGATATTCAATTTTTGGATTTTGCTTGTTAGGTAAGCATGGGAAAATGCAAACTCTATTATATATAGCATTTATCTTTCATCCTGTGCCTTATTGACGGTAACCTCATTTGGCCTAACAATTTGATTGCATAACCTGGTATTTTATGTTTGCATTATTTCATGAATCATGATCTATATGTATGTATATTTTAATTATCGTCTCTTTTGTTTTTATTTTTAGATTTTGACGCCTAATAGGTATTTCTACTTCACGGAAATCAGGAAACAAAGGTTTACTTAGAGAGGTATTGTTTCTGAAAAGAGGTATTTGTTAAATTTGGTGACCACAGTGATGTTGTGTATAAAGCATGTCTAGAGTTTTTCAAAATGCTACCTTTAGCTGCAGTGATAATGAACAGTATTTGTACCACCCATGGGGGACTTTTTTGTAGTGCAGAATTTGTACCAGAAGAAAAGAATAGACAAATATCTTTGGGTTCTTTGGAGGAGCTAGACCATTTAAATAGAGAACTTGTAGGTGAAGGAGAGGGTAATCCAGTTAATTTCATTGATATATTATTGTCACACCCATGGATGGGAAACTGGTCTCATGAAAATTTTCTTAGAGGGGCAGGTCTATTTTGGGGCCCTGATTCAAATGAAACTTCCCTAAAGAAGTCAGACTTAAAGGTGAGGCTTGAAATATCTTTATTATGTTTGGTTAATAACTGGTGTTGTTAAAATTATATATATATATATATTTTTCATTTAATATGCTATGTGCCTGCCAAATGGGTAAGACGTGCTCAACTCGCATACTTTATAATAAAGTTATATGCATGCTTTTATCTGGCATGTTTAATGACATTCTGCTCTTGGTTGATGCCTTCAACCATCAAAAACTGATTTTTTGATGATTGCATCATGTAGTCATACACTTGCAAACTTGCAAAACCTGGAGACTGAATTAGGTAAAGGGAAACAAAAAGTATTGCTTTTTTAATAGAATTTCCCAAGAATCTGCCCAAATTGGATACCCGAGAATTTTAACAGAATTTGTTTGCCCCTCATAAGCTTTGTGGTAGTCCATCACCGTTGTAACTGAACACTTTGATCCATGAGCTGATGCCCCAGGCCTGATCTGGTTCATAGACCCCTAATGACCATGATATACGTGCAAGTTATCACTGTAAATTATGCCTAATTCTCTCCCTCTCACTTACTATATGTATAATTTTTATGTAGCAACATTAAGTTGGGTGCAGTATTGTATGCTGCTACAGGCCATTATAAGGTCAAATGAAGGCCCTGATGCAAGGGCAAATTTAGAAAATTTTGGGAAGATCTTAAATGGATACTCCATGGATAGTGTAGAAACCAGGAATCTGTATACTCTTTTTCAGTGATTCAATGCATACAGCGCCTCGGGTTACTTGCCTTGGATTTTTCTTGTTTGTTTCATCTATGATATGCCTCTGCACCATGCGATAGCTTTACTAAATCCTTTCCCTTTCTTTTCCAATAAAATTGTACATGTCCTTAAAGTTACAAGTAAAGAATCAAAGGTCGCCTGTTAAGTAACTTGGTCCTCCTTTAATGCTTATGTAATTTAGCTGACGTTCCTTCTGTTTGTTGAGTTGTCTTTTGTCAACATTTTTGCTTATGTTCGTCTCAGCTTTGCTACATTTATTGTAATGATCAACTGTTTTTCAAGAAGTTTCTTTTATTAGAAAAAAAGGAGTCTAATACACTTCTCTTATGTGTTAATTATTATGTGGTTAAAAAGTAGCTTTAGGTAAGAATATGTATAATTAATTTTTCGTTGGTATAGATGTTGTCATGTCACTTAAACTGGTTAATATATTCTGCAGGGTGTTAGAGACTACAGAAATGAGGGAGCATTTGCTGTCTTGGAGTCTCCTCATTCCAGTAATCCTGAGTTCAAGCGTTCATATAGTTAATGATATGCAAAAGGTGTAGAACGTAATAATATAGAGATTACTAAAACTAGTTTTTTTTTTTTTTATTTATTTATGTAAAAAAGCAAATAAGATCAGGTTATTTAATTGAATTATCACCCAAATTGCAAAAAGTTAGCTGTAAGTTGCCATGGAGTTTAACCATGTACTGGAATGCAATGAACAATTTGCAGACCATTTAAAGGATTTCTTTTTATTTGCAGATGGACCAAATGAAGAAGATGGAAGATGCTTTCCAGGCCATAGGAGAGATGAGTTTTTCCAGCTTTGCCACCACGAGCCTGAAGTAGTTGGTAGACGGTAACGACTGAGGAGGAGAAATTTAATTAATGATGTTTTAGTTAATAATAATTTATTTATTTATTGAAAAAAACAACGATCGAGTTTTTATTAAAAAAAAAAAAGAAACAGACTCAATTGAACACGGCGGTGTAACATATGACGACGGAAAGGTGAGGTGGCAAAGTGACGTCATAAGGAAGTGGAGAGAATAGATTTCATTTCGTGAATGGATCGGGTTGGCATTGGATCCGTTTTCAATCGTGTGAACACACGTGCCACTAAATATCCCTAACTCCTTTTTTTTTTTTTTTTGGGTGCTGTTCCGTTCATATTTTTAATTAATCAATTTTCTCCAAATAAAATTAGTAAATATATATATATATATATATTTATTACAAATATTTTACATATGTTATTAATTTTAAGAAAATATGAAGATGATAATTAAGTAAATTTGATAGAAAAAGAATATAAAAGTTAAGAAAGCTGAAGAATAAAGTGTTTAAAGTCATTTTTAATAATTTAATACTCATGTTTTTATGTTACCAAACGTAAAAGTTAAACATGGTATTTAAAGTTATTTGTTAGTAGCAAAAAGAAATAAAAATTGATATCATATAAAAAATAAAGTTTATATGAGTACAAATCGATACTTAAAATGGTAAATGTCAATTAAATTGGCCAATCTATATAAAATTACATTTTAAAAAATAATAAAATTATGACAATATATATATATATATATAATTACTTTCTGCAATGGTGAGTGCGTATTTGGCTACGTACGGATAGAGGTCGTGCAGGGGATTCTACTTATCCCGTTGGAAAAAAAGAAGGATTTTGCTGGGTATAAGAATGAAAACGACAACGTTTTGTCAGGGCTTCAGATTCAGTTCAAGATTCACTTTGAATTTAGTTGAAGAGTAGAAAATGGCTTCGCGGCCGCCAAGGCAGAAAAAACTTGCTTGAAAGTCCTTCCCTCCCCTCAATCAAGTAAAGGAACCTGCTTCGGGTTTAATTATAATTCATCAACACATGTTAGACTAATTATGCTTAAGTTGACCAATTTTTCATAACTTAATTTGGAATTTGACCGACCGGGTCTGTATAAAATATTTTACAGTTCACACTTTATTTACTTACTACTTAAATTTTTAATTTAAATTATTTTGTTAAAGATTTATTTACAAACCGATGGTTTAATTATGGAAAGATAGAAGGAGTTTGTGAGGATGATTAAAAGAAAAAAAAAAAAAAAAGAAAAAGAAAAAATTGATGGCACTGAGAATTATATATTTAAGAGACGACATAAATTTTAAAAATAAAATGCAAAATATATCAATCATATTTATAAAACTTTCTAATGCTCTTTAAGATTTATGAAACATGAATTGAATTTATTTAAATTCTATGATAAAATTATATGTGTAATTAATTTTATTACATTAAAGAAAAAATTAAAACTAATAGATTAGAAGAATATTTTCTTACCAACTCTTTAACATAGTTAATATTTTCAAGTAGACCAAGACTGGCACGTTGACTGTAACATTAATATCCACGCCAACATTTTCTTGCATCAAATAATAAATATATGTATATGCGTGTGTTGTGTGCATATATATATATATATATATATATATATTCATCTTTTAGAAATATTTGACTGTTTGGTTACCTACTTGAATTATTCATAGTCGTGTTC